GTAGTGCCTAAAGATTACTTTGTGTGGCTATAAACGACCGTTGAATAAAATGATGAATTTTTGAAGGATTTTGAAAACGGAAAAAATGATGGTCATGCCGGCCCAGCATCATCAACATTGAAAAATGCCCCGGGCATGAAGTGGTTAAGGCTACCGTAGGTGCTGTGTTAACTTCTGCTCACAGTCACGTAATTTGGACCTAGCCTTTCATTAGATTTTTCTCTCAGCTTTTTAATCAAATTTATTACCAAGTTCAGGAGAGTGTTTATTTTCATGACGTCCTTACTGTTTGCACTGTGAAAGTAACATTAAATGGCAATCTTGGAATCAAAGCAAGATTTGGGAATTTCAGATTCATTCCGTTAGGTCACAATTGTGTTTTGTGGAACACAGATTTATGTTGTGCTCAGATGGCTCAATCAATCATAGATGATAAACAATTACATCCCTCCATTCAGTGATTTGTTGAAGACTTTTATTTATGTGATTTCTCTTACTTTTGTTGCGGTACAATATTTTTTACTGTACTTTGCTTGCACAGTGTACAGAAACTAAATTTAATCTTAAAAGTCAGCAATAATTTAATGCCTTTTATGTCGCACAGGCACATACCTGTAAATTCAAGATCAAAAGTACAATCATTTCTTGTTTTTCTTTTGAAAAAAAATAGCTTTTATGTGTATATTTAATGATGTTGAAGAAGCTTTTATCAAACCATCTATGTTGGCATTCTAAAATTAATGATGTCAGAATCGGCCACTAAGAAGAAATCTTGTGGAAAAAAGTGACATGTACGTGCATGCGTTGCAAGGACGGTACCTGTGATTGGTTGTCTGTGGCTGCTGACACCTTAAATTGGTTGCATTCTTTCACTTTTTTCCTTGAGTTCAACCTTGCCCCCACAATTTTGCTTGTTTGACGCAGCACACATGGCCACCCAGGCTAGGGTTGGCCTGTGAGAGCTGCTCAAATACTCCCATTCAAGGTCACCAAAAAACCCTTTCTATACAATAGCCATCTCGTTGGTATTTTTTGTCATTCCTCTGTCGTCATAGAAAACTTGTTTTTTAACTCTATAACAGTGCAACTCATGGTGCAGCTGATTGAAAGACTAGTCAACCAGTGTTCCATTGGATATTTACAAATGCCTCTTTAAATTGTTCAAAGCACTGTGAAGCGGTTTGTACAGAATACCTGTCAGAACAATGTTTCCATGCTGTAGCTATCACAGCACCATTTACGGGGGTCACTGCAAGTGACCAGTGAAAGTATTGCCATGGTCACTGGAAAAGGATTGTGCATTCTCATCAGTTTGGTTTGTGTGCCCACATTTCATCATAGATTTTTGAGTGGAGGCTAATCTGGATTGAGAACAGCATGGATGTAAGAATGAGTTCACAGAAAATATCAGTCCTTCGTATTTAAGGGGTTACGGTGTTTAAATTTTAAAAGGTTTTTACTTCTTAGGAAGTGGCTAAATCTAAATTGGTATACGTTGAATGTGGGTACATGAGGAATTGTTTAACCTGAATTAATAAAATTGAAAGGAAAAACGTGCGTGAATATGGTAAGTTTCAAGCTTGTTTGTTTTTTGGTCTGTTTTGTACATTTACATGAATAACAAGAATATGTTATAAATAACATCAGCAGTAAATAAATACTACAAATTTTCCAACCTTCACCACATCAAGTAAATCAGCTTTTGAGATGTCTTTAGTTAGGTACCTGTTGGTTGTTCAATTTCTCCCAAAGTTGGGTGAATCCATAAATGAGTGGGGGGGGGTTGTATCAGTGGCATAACTTCAGTAACTTTTCAGGTGAATCTGCACATATTTTTCATTGGGGAATGTCAAGCTTCGTTCGTATATAGGTTGCACAAATTCCTAATTTCCAATGTGCTCCCCTACCATATATGCCGTTGTGGTTCCGGTACTTCAGCCACGGTTCTATGGGATCTAGACCCCTCCCCCCCAAAAGGGGGAAAAATGCCCAAAAAAGAAAGCGGACAGCGCAGTAGCAAAGTTAACAGGTGACGTCACCTGCGAATGGTCTAGCCCCCCCAAAAAAAATTGGCTTCAGAACCATGCCTGCACTTCTGAAGGGTTTTCCAAGTGAACATTTTATAGGATAATGCAAGACAGTGGGCTGCATTGAAAAAAAACAGATGACACTCTATGAGAATGCCAGGATTTTGCTTATGAAAAAGACATGAGAAGCAAGATGTGAGAGGTTGGTCATTGCCTCACTGGAATCTGAGGTATTCTTTTCAGACATCTGGGGGGAATTTGTTAGGTGACAATAGTCCAGAGTGTGTATAGCGATTGGACAAGTTGGTGGGGGTACCCCTCGGTCTTGTTTCTTGCTGGATATAGGAAAATCCAACATCACTGAGAGGCCCTCCCCCCGAATCATAATTCAGCATGAGCTGAAATTCATTCATTGGACCTGGAAGCAATGCAAAAGTTCAACCAACCGATAAATTTTTTTACAATTAACACAGCAGTGTAGGTTACAACTGGTAGAAGACAGTTCTGTTATTATCATTCAGTCGCTCCCCTTTGCCACGCCCCCGAAAACCAGGCCATTTGATAACCTGTGGTTACAATTCGACGGCACCTTAAATATGGCTTCATCCGATATCTCCGGATTCAGAAACTTAACGAAATATCCAACTTTTGACCTCAACATTTATTGGATGTTTGCGTAGAAGAACAGGTCGGGTCCGGTTGATGGGGTCGAGTCTTTTTAGCCGAGAGGACTAAGTTAAAATAAACAAGAACAACTGATTCTCTTTTAATAGAACACGAAGCCGAAGACCTAAAATAGTTTACACCGCATGAGGGCGCTGTTCAATTCAGCGATCCAAGATGGCAGCGCTCATGAACAACGTGTGGCTCGGCACAGAAACAGGAATATTGAAAGGTTTGGGACTTGACACGTTTTAGGAATTCGGAAGAGAACTGGAGTTTCCTTGTCATATAAATGTGTGCACTCTAAACACAATGGAAACCATATGTCTGTATGTTTTACAACTTAAGTAACTTATCGTGGAATAGGCATGGTGCCTAGGCCTAGTAGTACTAGTAGTACTATAGTACAATTACAAATTACAATTAATTACAGGCTAGGCCCTAGCCCCACTAGTGTTGCACGGACTCTCCCTCCCGCTCCATCCTTAGCCACACAACTGTATACGCAATTTGGTGTCGGCGTACTGACAATTTTCGGCACACCTACTTATCATCGTGGGTGCAATTTCTTTTGCACACAGAGATGATAGAACACGAAGCCTCTCTGCTTTCGTAGCGCCATTAATTGAATGATTTCACTCACGTCCTGGTATTTTCCAGTCTTTTTGCCTTCACCCATTCAATCTCACAGACTCGCTCTCACAGTCGCCATCTTTAAAATAAGGTTGGCACATGTAGTATCTTATATCGCTCAGTCTGAACAGCGGTCGAAACTATGAGGGGAGAGGCTTAGGATCATCTCTGTGTGCAAAAGAAACTGCGCCCATGATGATAAGTGGATGCGCCGAAAATTTCAGTACGCCGACACGAAATTGCATATACGGATGTGTGGCTAAGGAAAGAGCGGGAGTGAGAGTCCATGCCATATGAGTGGGGCTAGCTAGGCCCTACCCTAAATTCGTGCATTAACCCTAACAGACCTCAATCCTTCACTAGTTGGAGGGTTGAGGGCTGTTAAGGTTAAATTTTTGAGCATTAAATAGCTTGTCCACTATCGGGAAAAATGTCTGCCGAGCATAATGACATATGTTTTATTTTACAGACTATATTGGCAAAATTATTCTATAAAAATGGCAGGTTGCCCTTTTCTGGTATTTTGTGGAGCTGATATTACTTAATACATAAGCCTTATCGCTTACCACATGAATGATTTTGCACAATGGTAGAAACACACCCTTGGAAGGAAGAAGGGTCAGTGTTTGTTCTTTTTCCTTCCCACAATGCCTTCCTACCATTGTGCAAATCACCCAAGCAGAATTAGTGATAAGGCTTCTAAATGTGAGGTTGTGCCTGACATGGATGTTGAATATTCATATTTACAAAGCAAACGTGAAACTGAGTGCTCACAGTAAGCCACTAAACAGTCACTGTGGAGTAACTTTGAAAGATACATCAGGTTGTAATCGACATCTTTGACAGTTGTGCATACCGCAAGTATGAGCATTGATACGCCTGAAGTAACAGCTTTATGTCCAATATTCACAAAAAGATACAGTTTCTCCTAGTGCATCATTTCCATGAAATTTTGTTTTCTGAAATGTCATCATGAGATTGTCAGTTGTTACTATACAATTCACCATCGATTGCTAACTGATGTGACTCCAAAGACCATGTACCTAATGTGAACAGTGATACTTCTTGGGATGTTTTCATCCTGCTAGATCTATGGGGCTCCTCTAGAGGTATACCTTCGATGGATAAACTTAGAATTAATTTAAAAGTCAGTTAGATTCTTATGCATTTAAAAAAATCAGTGTTAAGAAGTAGTGCTTTGGTGAGTACACCAGTTGGTGTCTTAGCCAATGGTTAAAAATGTTTCAAATTCTTGTTGAATTTTGTAGGTGTGAACATTTGTAAGAAGATTGCAACCAATTACAGTGACCTGAAAACACTGGACAAAGAGAAGGAAATCACAGCTATATGCTGGACCTCAGAAGAGGAGCAAGAGGCAAGTAATTACATTTAGATCACAAAGTGACCAGAATTAGCTGCCATTTCCTCTGGGGCAATCCTGTGGGCACGAAGGTGGTACGCACTTGTTACATTTCTCTCAGACTAAGGGAGTGTTGTGACTTTAATTACATGCACGTCCTCAAGTTCCAACTGAGTGTAATGGCCCCACAGGAATGGTGTTTCCTTGGATTTGTCTACAGTGCGATAGGGCTATGCTTTCCTCAATCCTGCACAGTGTTTCAAAATTTTTAGTGGATTTGAAGGGTTTCAGACAGTTGAAATTAAAAGCCACCAGTCACGTCCATTAAGCCTAACCCTGCCAAACGCAGCACAGTGCATCGGGTGAAAAAACCTGATACACTTTGATGCACTGGGCAATCAACAGCAGCCGAACAAACTGGCCATGTTGAGACAATGGGAGCTAGTCCCATTGAACAATGCAACTGTTGGATCTTGTGGTGACTGGCAACCATAGACTCGACTCCCAGGCTGTCTGGCCTCGGGAAGAGTTGACCTGTTGGATCTTATTACACTGGGCAGGCAGGCCACTTTGACAAATGGTGCAAACTGATATGTCTGGCATGGTCTTTACCCAAAGTACCTTGAAGGGTTAGGATGAAAAGAATGGTTATACATCACCATGTTTTCACCATTTAAACCATTTTTTATATTCACCAGTTGTCATATGCTTTGCAGGTTCATTCCATTTGAAAAATTTCAAAAAATTATTTAAACTTGGAAAAACTTGGGTAACAATTCTGTCACATCCATCGACAGGTGCTTACTGGTTTGAGAAATGGGACGGTGCAGACATTTGACCTAGGGAAAGGTGAATTTACAGAGCACAGGGATTGCAGCGGGGCCAAGGGGGTGTTCAAGGGTCTGGCAACCTATGATGACGCTCTCATCACATGCGTGGAATCGGGGCTGCTCAAAGTATGGAGAGGGATGGACAAAGAGGCGGTAGGTTGGTGGAAGAGGGGACCACAGGGGAATCTGGGAAGATTATAGAATGAATTCATCGAAGGATTTTGCTCCTTTTGAAGAATGTTGGTCACGTTTTGGAAGTTATAATTCTCTGTAATACATCTGGGTTGAAAAGTGCCATTCAGTGCAGTGATGACTTTCCCGTATCATACACCTTAATCCAAGTCACTGAAACAGTATCCAGTAATGGTTTAAAGTTGTTTTGAATCGCTGGAGTAAGAAAGAAAGTGTGCCATGGCTTGAGTCTGACTGGAATACTTCACAGCTCAACAAAATACACATACTTTTTGTTTTGGGATTTGGGGAAGGAGGTTGATTTTGTTTTTTTTGTTTTGGTGTGTTTTTTTCAATTAGGCAAGGTTCTGATTTTGGCTGATTTTGCATTTAGCAGGGTACCCAGAGAAAACCTAAAAGCAGTAAGACACAAGACCCCCCCCAGCAAAAACTAGTAGAATTTGGTGACCCGAATAGAAATGTCCCAACAGTAATTCAATTATACCTTAAAAGTCATTGTGACTTCTTTTATTTTTTTGTCACAGACGGAGATTGATGTTGGACCCAACATCTGCAAGATGCGACAGAATCCCGCTAAGAGGAACGTCGTGGCAACAGGAGGCAAAGAAAATGATCTGAAGGTGTGGGATCTGCATGACTCAGAAAAGCCACTCTTCCGAGCAAAGAATGTGAGCGTCTTCAGGGATATGAAGTTTTGTATTCCTCTTTGTGAAGTTGTGAGAATTATTTATTGACATTATGTCACTCCTCATAAGATCACATGATTGTTTTTGCCTTTGAGAAAGGTTCTGCCAGGATCAAAATATCGGCCCTTACTTTTCCTATTTGTGCAATTCAGGTCAGTGTAGTCAGCAAACAAGTTGCAGCTCCTTTGTGGTTTACACAGCAACATTTCTGATGGAAAATTAAAAATTTGCCCCTCCCCCATCAGCAATTAGTTATGAGTAGTGCAATTTTCACACAAACAGTTCATTTGTTGGGCCAGTTTTAGCATTTTCGCACTGTTGAGAAAATTCACTTAGGAACCAAAACATGACCATAAATGCTAATTTCTCAAACTCTGAAATCTTGCATTGGCCTTGCAGGATTTCAGTGGTCCACCTTCGTTACATATTAACTTTCAAGGGACAGCTAAAGCCTGCAAAAGTCTGTAAAAGTGGTCTGAAGACAATTTCTTGTAGGTAGAGACATAGTTGTAGAGAAAGTTCTGAAATAAGACTGTTTTAATCTTTCTTTACCACATGTGTTTAGACCAACAGTATGAGCTGAATGGGTGCAGATCGTTTTGTACTTTGTGCTCTGTACTTGCTAGTAGAAAGTAAAGGTTGATTGAAATGAAATGATGATGTCTCTGAAGTATATCAGGTTTGGTTTTTAACTTTCTACAGGTTCGGAATGATTTCCTGGAGTTGCGGGTGCCTGTGTGTGTGAATGATATGCACTTCATTCCAGAAAGCTCCAAGATTGTAACCTGTACGGGGTTTCACCACGTAGGTACAAAATGGAAGATTCCACGGGGGCAAATGGATAATTAGGAGATGACTCTTTATTCTTGTCCAAACCTTTTCTAATCCGCTTCAAAGCGTGAAAGACAAAAAAAAGGGTGGATCACACTAACATAAGGCTCATTGTTCATCAGTGTAAAAATAAGCATTCTACTAACCCACTAATTAAGAAAAGCAAAGAGAGAAACAGGCCCTGGGTTATCATATCAGTTACAGTATTTATGGAAAGTTTATTTGCTGTGTTTTAGTCATTCTGTTCTTGTGTTACAGCAGCCAATTAAAGCTAACGGTGTCGTGGGTATGAAACTCGTACATGTATTCACCAAAATGGTGTTTACTTTGTCCAGGTACGAGTATATGATCCAAGCACACCACGCAGGAGACCTGTGCTGAGTGTTGAGTTTGATGAGTACCCGCTCATGGCCATGGGTATCACACAAGGGGGAAAGTGAGTCCTGAGTTTTGAGCCTAATTTTCACAATAGAACTACTGATCTTTTATACAAATATTAGTTCATAGGCTAAATGGATTTCTTGGATATTAAATACAAATTATAGCATAGACAAGCCCCTTAAACAATGTGCAAAAGTCTTATGTATATTGTGCTTGCCTTTGATATTGATCAAATTTCTTGAAATGAATTAACAAAAAGGCGTTTTCCTTGAGTACATTTATGGCTGGAACAAGTAAACTTGTCTAGATATGACAAAATGAAGTAATTTCCAAACTGTACACCCTGGGTGTATTGACTTAAGTGCCACTTCCGTGTTTACATTAATTCTGAGTAATTCTGAGCAAGCTTCTTTTTTTCTTCCAGTTCTATCGTTGTTGGCAACACGCATGGGAACATGGCACACATTGATTTGAGAAAAGGTCTGTTGTGTTTCCTAGAGTCGTAACAAACAAATTTAATCACTTGTTATAAATATTATACTTCTTAGTGTTCTGCTGTCATTGATTTTACATTGTTGCTCATCAGATTTCCCCCTTTTAAAATTGTTGGTAATTCAACCTTTTTTTAACAATCACACTTGTCCAAAAAGGTACCTTAATTTGCATTGCAAATTCCCCTGTATGAAAAGAGGAACAAATTGCATACACAAGCAAGACTTGTGAGAAAAAAAATAGAAGGCTTGAAAATATTGTTCAGCTGGGACCATCATGGGCATTTCCTTAACCCTAACAGTACGATTTTACATACACCCTGGGGGGTTAGGGTTAACTTATAAGAAACTTAACAAGGTGTATTTAATGCCATTGGGACTCAATTCAATTTGCAAAGTTGCAGTCTGAGAACCGTAACGTGGGGGATTAATGAGGGGGGGAAGGGCAAAAGCAGAGAGAAAGCAGGGGGCGTGACCTTATGCCCAACAGAGCCCTTGGGGTCAACTCCTTGTATGATTCCTTCCTGGTGCAGGCCAAGTGCTTAGAGCATACAAGGGTTTCGCCGGCAGCATCCGCTCTATTGAGTGTCATCCGAGTCTCCCCTTTGTCGCATCCTGCGGTCTGGACAGATTTCTGAGGATTCACCACATACCCTCTGGCACTTTGGAAAATAAGGTGCGTTTGGTGACTGTTCCTGCCAAAATACTCTCCCTTCAACCGCACTCTAATACTTTTCCAAGTGACCCTCATACTCATGTGAGATACTTTTACTGTGTTTCACACGGAGTTGTAGTTGATTTATCAAAGTCCCCAAGGAAATGTAAAATACTCTCCACCCCAGGCTATGCAGAATTAAGACCAAGTACATTTACTGAGTAACAGTGTGGTTGGGCATACCGCTGGATATGTGTGAGTAGGAACTCATTAACGGAACTTAAATTTGGATGAGTTTGTTATGGAAATTCTTGGTCATTTAAGCATCCTTTCTTTGAACTTATCCAGTGTTCCTAGTCATCATTAAAAGCCCTACTTTTTCACCCACACTGGACTTTTTATAGATAATAGTTCCACTTACACCACTATGTCATTGTGGTGCAAGCTCTGGTTACATTATGATGCAGAGTAATAGTGAAAGCCTAGGGATCACTAAACTGTATATTGCCAATGCTTTTGCCTTCTGACAAGCCTGCATTTTTAATGATTCAGGTTAGGTTGGGTCACACTTCTTGCATGCAAGAAGAAAACTAAGTAAATCCTGAAAGTCGCCGTTACTTTTCTTCACAAAATGAAGAAGAATCTTTCAGATAAACTCAAGGATGTGGTGTGCATCATTTCTACCAGTAAAGTGTAGCCGCATTTGGGGTGATGCCACTTTTTGCCTAATTCCTTTTTTGTTCCTTTTTTTTCCACCCTTATGCAGATCTACTTGAAGTCTAGACTAAACTGCTTGATGTTTTCCAGTGCCAGTTTTGACACTGTGGTAAGTTTGTTATAAAGTTGCAATGTTCCCTGGCATGTGTCTGTTACATCCATTGGCAATCTGTTGCATTTTTTTCTGTAAAGTGCTCATCAATATAATTTTCAAGGCAGATTCCTGCAGATTTTATTAGCCTTAGGCAACATTTTGGATGAAAACAAAACAAGTATTTTAGCTATCAAAGAGAACTTTAAAATCACAGGATTTTCAACACAGGACCCCCTAGTACCAAGGCAATTATTCGGTTTCAAAGGAGCTGATGTTTATTTTGTTATAACCAAAATGAGTCCTCTAGTAAGGTCAGGCCGATTACTATAAATAAATCAAGTAATTGTGTCAATTTTAAAGTGATAGCCAATAGTGCACTGAACATCCAAGTAAGCTTCCAAGTTAAAAACTTAAACCACTTATCTCCCCCCCCCTTATCCAAATAAAGACATACATGTACTTCACAAAATACATGTTTCATCCTCAAGTGGTGCTGTGCCAATTTTTTCTTACATCAGGACCCAGAGGAAGTTGTTAAGGCCCAGGAGAAACCTGTGGGACCAGTTGATGAGGAAACTGAGACCATCTGGAGGCAGATGGAAGAGGTCACAGAAAGGTCACCTAAGGTCAAGAGAAAGGTTGCAAAGGATTCCACACGGAGTGCTGTGAAGCGGAAAGCCCAGGCAGAGACATAAACGGACAAGACAGCATGCCTGCCATTTACAAACGGATTATGGACCATGCCTGTAGAACTGATGCTCATTACATTATTTATATTTTGGAAGACTGCATTCTCCTTTTAAATGCCGTATCAGGGGTATCCATTGAGTAGAAGCATTGAGTTGTCCCTCTTTGACCATAATGAGCTAGTTGTAAAATTCTGGGAAGTGCCTGGCAGGCAGATTGTTTTGAAGAGGAAGGGGTCGGGAAAGGTTGGTGTCAGAATCTGATCTTAGAGGGCAGCGTTTGTGGTATTTTTAAATTAAAGAAAGAAGCTGTGAAACTTCCTCCAGTGTCTTGGGTAGATAGCAGCTTTTTTGGTCAAAAGGGTGGGTGGGTATTAAGCTGTCAAGAGAAAAGGTGGAAGTGTCTCTTCCCCCTTCTATTGACCTATTTTAGGAAGGACAGCCTAAAGAGGAAGGCGTACTCCCAATGCCCTTCCCATCCTGTCCCATCCCATCCCCTGGTGAATATTATTAAATAACATTAGTGTTCATCCCCCAAGCAAGCCTTCAGGTGGCAGGCAAAACTGGCACTGTCAGTTGCTGGTAATTGAAGGAAAAGCCACATTTTTGTTTGAGGAATCAACAGTGCTTAGGGGGAAGATTTTCCCAGGAGTCTTTTAAACTGACTCAAAGATTACCATTTTAGCCACGTGAGGAATCACATTGAAATTACCAAATCAGGTATAAAATGGACTGAGACCAATTATTAACATTTAAAAGTTGATATGACCATAGAATAGTTCAGATCGTATTAAAATTGATATTCACCCATGGAAGCTGTCTTTCAGATTTAAAAAACAAATAAAAAATAGCAGTTGTTTGGGGAAGGACACGTCTCCGTCTGCTGTTGGCCGCCACGACATCTGCAAAGGTTTAGGCCCGTCGTGAAAATAAAGGGAAAATATGCTGCTTTAAAACATAGAAATCTGCAACCGAGCTGGTGAATTTATTTTTCTAAAGTTAATTGTTAACTCAGATTATCCTTCGTTCGTGCTCAGATGAGGTCGCACGTTGTCGATGTCAGGGGTCGGGTAGCCTTTGATCAAGGGCGCCCACGGTAAAATGGATAGTTGAGACCAAAGATTGTATAGCGCTGCGCGGCGCTAGCCAGTCTTTGGTCAAGACCACACGACGAACCGCATTAACCATGCATGCGCATGCAGCAGCCGAGCTGTGTGTGTCACGTCGTGGACTGTCGCGCCACCGCGGGGATCGGGAGTGCGTGCGTGCGGTTCGTTGTGTAGTCTTTCATCGTGCGTTGGTTAGGTGCTTAAACTAGTCTCCTCCAGATCCCTCGCTCTTAAAAGACTATCCATTTCGCCGCGGGCGCCTTGATCGAAGACTACGGACCGGGCATGGCACCATGTGTACGTGTGTACGTGTACCGCAGCAGCAGTGACCGTCCTTACTTCGGCCACCGTCGGGATTTCGGAAAGGCGCTTGGAGGACAGATGCGGCTAGGCTGCAGCTATTTTCCATATCAAGCGCGTGTGGATTGACCAGCCACAGCCCCACTAGGGGTCGGAGAACTTGTGGGGGATCTGCAGGTCAGAAGACCCCGGCCAGGCAATAGAATGGCATACATTTCAGGGAAGGCGCTTGCGGTTTCTCTGGCGGTGTCTTTTTTACTTGGGACGTTCGTGGGCTACAAATGCAACACGCTGTATAGACAGTATTTACAAAACAAACGAGACCGTTTGAGGAAAAGAGCGATTGAAATCCAAACAAAATTGAACGTGTCCTAAAAAGGTAAGAACTTTAGAAAGAAAGGTAAGAAAAGGTAAAAATCGAGTCCACGATGCCAACACATCCCCTCTTTCCTCCATGGTGGAACCGACCCAACCCGCCTTGGGTTATGTTTTCATTCCTCCATGAGTGTCAATGGTTCATAAGGCCTACGCCATATACAGTGCAGCTCCTAGGTCTAACTTACAATGTTGACTAGTGTTGTTAGTGCTATGATTAGGCTAGGCCTACCTAGTTCGAGTAACTTGGTCCTACATCTGTACATGATCGCTATCGCCCGACTATGTCCAAACTCCAAATGTTTTTTTAAAAAGGTGATTTGTGGGATCCAAGTTAATCAGACTTTGGAGGAAGAAACATCGGACCATGGAGGAAGGAAAATAGACTAAGGCCTAAGCACCAACATTTTCAGATGTGATGTCCCTGAATGGCATTCTTTTCAGTGTGAAATGTTACTTCAGGGAAAAAGTATTGATCATTTTTATTTATATGCTGTATCATATGGGATTCTTGCCAAATTGAATTTAAAAAAACAATATTTAAGTTTGAAAAGCTGAAAACTGACTTTGCACGTAGTATTATGGGGCAGCGTGGTTATCCGAGACTCTCACAAAATGGCAGGTACTGCGCCAATGAAAACAGCGACCATGGCGATGTATGCGGCTACTAGCCTACCCGAGGATAGGGGTACACAATCTTTTCTGTGATCAGTAGGTACATGTGCACTCATTGCAGTTGTTTTCACTATCCGCCATTTTGTTACCCACCAACAGCTTTCCGGGAAAAAAAACTCTTACGTGAGCCTAATAGTAATCAAACTCATCTGCAGAACTGTAGGTTTCATAGGTCTGTTTAGAAAGGCTGAACAACAAACCCAGTAGTTTAGGGTTGCTGCTCTGACCATGGTATTTGGTCCCTTAGTTACTTGTGTAACATATTAAAATCAACACATTCACCAAAATAAGGTGTCTAAACCATAGCCACCTCCCGTGGTAAGAAAACAGACATGTACAGATTGTGTTGCTTGTCAGTTTGCCATTGTGTTTGAAACATTTGTCACTTTTTCTGTTCATGCCAACAGACACTTTGGTATGTCTTCCAATGATCCAGTCAACCAGAACTATCCCTCCACTATAAAGCCAGTTGTCTTGGTCCATGGTGGAGCCTGGGCCATACCAGATGGCCTGGTTCAGGCCAGCTGTCAGGGGGTACAGAATGCTGCCAGGGAGGGCTACCGTGTGCTGGAGGAGGGAGGAAAGGGTACAGCATTAGATGCTGTGGTGGCTGCAGTGTGCATTCTGGAGGATGATCCAGCATTTGATGCAGGTTTGTACATGTACATGTATGTGAAGTTCCACCAGGACTCTCTTTATAATCAAAGGCCAATCTAGCACCATTCAGATTCGGATTCATTTAGCTCTTCAGCACCATCACAATAATGTAATTCCAGGAATGGAACAAGATACTGTTGACAATCAGAGACGCTGCCACTTTACACTGCCCTCAGGGATTATCTTTCCAAATGCATACCCATTGCATGCCCGCCCTTAGCGACAGGCTTGCAAAGAGGGCTCACAGAAAACACCTGTCATCAGCTCGAAAGAAAGCTTGTTAAAAAGTTTCCGCATTGTGTGGTTCTTCACAGGAACGGGGTCGGTGTTGAATGAAGATGGTGAAGTTGAAATGGATGCTATCGTGATGGAGGGACAGCATCTCAAAACTGGGGCTGTTGCCTGTGTCAAGAACATCAGAAACCCAGTCAAGCTGGCCAGACTGGTGATGGAAAAGGTGAACTTACATCGCAGTAGTTGCGTAGCTGAGGGCTTCGGCACAGCTTCAGGATCACGCATTTGATAATTGATGGTACTGAACAGTGGTGGTGGAGCAATTTTCAATGTGGGGGGCTGCCATTTTGTGAGACCATCAGGCATCAGCCATTGAAATACCTGCTGAAAGTACATTAGGAGGGGGAGTGATGATCCTCAAGTTGAAAAAGTGGGAGGGCCAGTGGCACTCAGATTCCCCCCCCCCTCCTGCCGCCACTGATACTGAATTCAGGTGTATTCTGGAAGTTGTGTGGCCCAATGCTTTGGGTAAACATCATATCATCTCGGGCCTTGAAATATGCCAGTGAAGTGTTGCAAATGAAATGAAAAGAGTTCAATAACTCGTGATTATTTTCAATCAAACTCATGGTACTTATTTCACAGACAGAGCACATTCTACTTGTTGGAGATGGAGCAAACAAGTTTGCCAAAAGTGTGGGCATGAAGGAGGTTCCAGTGGCAACCCTTGTCAGCGACAATGCTGTAAAAGAATTGGAACATTTCAAGAAGTTTAATAAAACTGTGGATGGTCTGTTCAGTACAAGGTATGAAGATTGCTAACCTGCCAAACAGGCCTGGGGATTTGGGAAGATTTTGCAGAATTGAAGATGGTTTGACACAAAGTGCTAGTGGGCTCATGCACGCCGTTTAAAAGCATTTTCGGAAAGTTTCCTTGCTAAAATGTGCGGGAAGTTAAGGTCCACAACACATTCACTGATTTTGTTTCCTTTTTCTCTGTTTAAGGTCAACGCACTGTCACTTGTGCTGTCAATAACCATCAGTAGTGTATCCAGTGGGGTTGGGGGGAAGTTGTCAACCTAGGAGCTAATTTAATAAACCATGAGAAGGACATGCCTGTTTTGATGTTTCAACCTGTTACTTTTGATGAGACTCGATTGACTTGGTATACTTTTATTCACTCTGTAACGCCAATGATGTTGAACGTATGTTGCTTTTGTGCAGAGACCATGACACTGTAGGGGCAGTGGCAGTAGACAGCGAAGGGAATGTAGCATGTGCCACATCAACGGGGGGAATCACAGCCAAAATGGCGGGCAGAGTTGGTGACAGTCCACTCATTGGTATGAATCAGAAATAGAAATTATGTTTTGTCTGTAATTAATTGAACGTTTTACGTACATGTATTTAGCATTCTAACAGTTCCTAGATGTTGGTATCAGAGAGCCTGGTGTGTTAAAACGTAAGAATTTTTTGGCTGTTCTGTTTGAATTTTAACCATGATTGTGCTTTGTATGTGATATAGGGATGCCATTTGAAAGTATCACTCGACAAAAAGGGAGAATTTCTCAGCACTTCAAACTTCATTTTATTATTGTTAGTTATTTCCAGTTGAAAATTTTTTTCTGGGAAACTTAGTACATTGGTTTTTAATAATAATAACAATTGCATTTATATAGTGCCAAATTATCAGAGCATCAAAGCGCTTAGATGTATTATCATTGTCTCTGCACATTGGGCTCACAGCATGTGAACTTTCCTGCAACTTTCTCTGTTCCCTTGGGAGTACGAGCCCAGTGCCCTTACAGGTACCCATTTACTCCTGGTTGGAGAGAAGCAGGTAGGGGTAAAACAACTTGCCCCAGATCACAACATGGTGCCACCAGGTGGATTCGAACCCCTGACCCTATGATTAGAAGCTACAAACCCTAAGCACAAGGCCACATGCCCCCTTATGTTTTCCTTCCAGGTTTTTCCTGCTATGTCTCAAAGTCCACTTTTCGTCCTCGTCTCCTCGCAATTCAAAGCTAGGAACAAGGACAAAAGAGCTTAAGAACTGGTCAGTATAGCCCCAAAAATTACAGAACAGAAAGGATATATATGTGCCTAAATATTTTGCATGTAGGACCTGTCATTGGTTGCTACCAGCTTGAGGTGTATAACACCAATGTTTCAGAGTTTCATTAAGAAATACATCTTTCTGTCCTTCCTCATGATGTATTTGACACAGGAAGTGGAGCTTACTGCGACAGTGCCGCAGGATCAGCATCTGCCACTGGTCACGGGGAGTCCATCGCTAAGGTGACACTAGCCAGACAGGTAGTGTACAACATGCAAAATGGTATGCATCTGAATACTGAGACTGAACCAAATACATTAATTGCCCTAATTTGGAAAGCTGGGCGAGTCCAGGATGTTTATCTTGGAGTTTGCTGCGTTACATTGTCAATTGAAACTAAGCTTGAAGCGCTGTAGTGTTTGTGTACACTTTGCCCTCACTCTGTTCCTGAGTGAATGTCTGTTTGGTTTTACCATAAATCACTGTTTAGAGACCGTGTTAGCAGTTGCTCTTTTTCAGGGAGTTTGTTGTTTGCCTGTTATTTTGTCACACCATTAGTCAAATGTCCTCTTTCCAAAATTTGACTCACCAATGCTAAGTAGCCCACAGGCTAGTGGAAAGTGAACCTTTCTGCCTATCTGATCTTGAAACCGGACTTTCCTGCATTCCTGCTTCTGGATTAAACCGTTGACAGGTTGTCGTGACAGCATCACAAACTCCTTCAATTTGGACAGCCGCTGGCTGCTGTTTGAGTCCATCAGAAGACCTAAAAAATCCCTACAAGTCAATCATGAATCATTCTCAAGTTATCATGTCGCGAGTCCACTTGGAAGCTATTTCTGTGAAGTGTGACAAGGCATTCTTTTGTTGTTATTCATTCCCTCTTCTTTTGTGACTGGGCTTGTGTGCATTGATTTGTGTGGACTGCTTACTGGAACCGTCACCCCTTTTTATTTTTTTCGTCAGGGGCCAGTGCCCAGGAAGCAGCTGAGGAGGCTCTCTCCTACATGTCAAGTAGAGCCAGCGGAGCAGGGGGGACCATCGCTGTGGATAACATGGGTAACATTGGGGTTGCCTTTACCACAGCGCGCATGCCCTGGGCCTGGGCTAGGAGTGGTTCCCTTCATTACGGCATCAACCCGGGAGAAGACTTCACTGTATGATAAGTTGAGTCTTGTGAGAACAACGTTCAGTGGAAGCTATTTTTCTTGTAGCTGGCAGATCTTTTTGGCAGGTGGCTTAAATTCACTTAGAGTAATTTGCCTATGACGTATACCCCTCAACCAGTGTTAATACACAAAATCGAGGAAAATAAAACTCACAGAAATTCAAGCTGAGTAGTGAGTGTTTTTAGAGGATATTAAAAATCCTCAGTTTTGTCATCACAAAACCAGTTTTATTGATTGGAAGTGACTGTATCAGTGCTGATGCATTAACAGTTCATGGAAAGCCATGCAAATCATTGTCTGGAAGTCCTCACCAGTATGAAAGCTCAGTTCCATAATAAAAAAATAACTTGTCTTTACTCCATGTAGAGGATTTTTTATTTTGCAGCGCACATTTTCAAGCAGAAGAGAAACCTCAGACCAGAACAAGAACCCTCAGGCTCTTGTCAGTCGTTGCTTTATAGCACCAAATTATCTGGTTTTTCTTTGATAAGTTAAATAATGCAATAAATTTACAGAGAGAGACATTTTGATAATTTTTAATTTTAGGTGTAATATTTTTCTAAGTGTAAGAGCTTCAGAAAGGTATTGTGTTCCATATTTACAAACCCATAAACACTTTTTAAAAATGGGAATTTAAAATCAAGACATTTTTAGCCATTTTTCAAATTTTGTATTTAACTCTCGGATAAGTATGTCATCACCTTTAAGGTGGAACTTGATAATCTGCCTGTAATTTGAAGAACTTTGCTATCACTGTAAAGGGGTGACGGTGCACAGGATGAATTTCATATTTGAAATTTAAGATATGTGTTAAAAGTTTGAGGATAATTTTTTGTGAGGGGAGTTATAGTTTACAATAATGAAAACAGATTGTGTAGCCAACTACAGCTACAGAACCTTGACAATGAATGATTGGTGCAAGAGGAATGTAATTTGGTCCCTTAGTACAATGACACTTCCTTTATTCAGACTAATGAAGATTGTAGCATTGAGCAAGGAACGATTGGAGGTACTAGCTGACTAGGAGTTTGGATGTATTAAAGACAGGAGATTATTATGACGGAAGGTTTAAGTTGGAAGGTTTTGTACGCTGGGGGTGTTGCCTAACAAAGATGATCGATTCAAGACTTGGAAACTTGGAGGAATGATGCATGAAAGAAAAGGAGGGACCTCAATCCATGGATGTGGGCAACAATATGATGGTCAATCTGGAAGGGACTGTGGCCAAAGCACAGTCGGGGTCTCCTTGCAGGGGGGAGATGTATAGCCTAAGGGAACATGTGGTCTGGAGAGGGAGAGAATTACTAAAGGTATGCAGATTCTGGGATCAGAGATAAGGACCAGGGATGGTCAAGAAAAGTTGGGTAACTAGGTTTAGACTAGGTCTCTACAGTAGAATAAAATAAGCATACATGAATTTCTTAAAATAAAAGGAAAACATGTACATGTATACTTAATACATGTAATCAAAATTAATGGTTAAACTTAAATCAAAACACAACGTCTGCTACAGATTGAAAAATTTTGTAAAGGCTTTGTTTCATTTCTCAAAACTTTTTAACAAAAGATCTTATCAGCTGCTGTAGTACTTAATGTATGTTTTTTCAAACATTGTATTCACTCAAAATATGCCTGTGAATCTATTTGTATGGTTTGTATTCAAAACACCAAAGTGCAGAAGTATGAAATGTACTGGTGATATACATGTATTTTGTTAGCGTATATATTTTCTTGTCTGAAAGTAATTTGAATACATACTAACCTATAACAGATTTGTCACACATGGCCAGAACTAATATAATTTTACGTTGTAATGTGTCTACAGATGTACTTTTGGAATGCATTGTGTGAATTGGAAGATTGGCAAATATGATTTGAACTAAAGGCTGAAATGCTTCTTGTGTGAGGAAGGGATGCCACTTCGTTGAAACATTACTTTCTGAATGGTTGTTGCTAAAATGAAATTATAAATGAAAATAGATCATACAGAGTGCCGGCGCTGGAGGCGAAAATGTTGCAATGAATATTCATGAGTTTGCGTGACCCGACATAAATACCTTTGGTGCCACAGAGATTAGGTGGATCCATAGGAGAAAATCTCCTCCAGGTCTATGGTGGATCTCCATTCGGGATCAATTATTTCCAATACTTGATTCGGCTCCGGTGGAGGCTTCAACCGGTTTTTTTTATTACCTGACTTTTGAAGTTTTAAGCGCAATAGTAAGTCTCATAGTGCCACAAAACAAGTAAGATATAAAAGAGCCAAACGTGACAGTACTTTAATTTAAACACTTCAGGCCCACGATCCGGGATTGGTTTCGTAGGAAAAGCTTGAGACGCAGACAAATTGAGTACATGTATTGGAAAACGGGTGGGCCACGCAGCCAACAAAAAGAATGTGTTGGCTAGGGCTGTGGCTTGTCTTTTGGAAATGGCCGGCTGGCGCGGCGTGTACAGTACATGTACATATGCGCCCCGTGTAATTTCAAGCCGTAGCCAAGACGCGGCTTAATTACCCCGATCGATCATCCAACGGTATACCCGATTAACTACGTTCAACATGGCGATACAAACATGGAACGTCTCGGTAAGCAGTGACGTTTTAACACTGTGTGCATTTTGGGCTATTATATGCTGTATAAGTGATGTTATCAATCTATTGGTGTGTTTTCCATTCATTTCTCACCTTCATAATTTTGGTAACTTGTGTTGTGACCATTAATTCCTGCGTTTTTACCATGGTTTTTACGTATCAAACTCCATCGTGTTTCCATGTTTGTTCCTTGCTAGCAAAGGCCTAGGCCTACACGTAATAGGCCTAGGTGACAGTCGTACTAATTAACGTCAAGACAACGGCAACACATGAAAATAACGTCAACACACCCAAATCACGTTGTAAGTTAACAGAAACGCAATTCGATAGCAATATAATGCCTAAAATACAATTTGGCTAACAACAGTAGGCGACATTTGGGGGGAAAAAAACGTTTTATTTCACGAAAATAACACCCTCCGCACAACCACGAAAGACGGTAGCCATGTTGCCTCGATCAGACGGACCATACCATTACGCTACAGGGGTCACCTTTATACAGTAAACCATGGTACGGACCAAACGCCGTGAGAAGGCAAGATGGCGGCGGCGAACAGCTGCGCTGCTCAGAGACAGTTTTTTCGCATGAAAAAACTCCCTTGAAATGTAGTAAAATGTAAACTCGCTTAAATAGAAATTATTCCTAAGCGTATACATTACAGTTCGATACGTCTGTTTTCAATGCATTTTGTAAGTGTTGGCGGTGTGTTGACATTACTATCAATGTGTTGAGGCATGTTGACGGTGTGTTGACGCTGGTTAGTATGACCCCTACACTGTAGGTGAACTATGTAGTACTGCCCAGTACTGGCAGTAGGCCTACAGCCTAGGCCATTTTCCAGTACTCGACTGTGGCTCTGTCTCGGGCTTTGTGCCACTAAACATCCAAGTAATATGCAAACGATCCAAACATTATTTTTACTGTAAGCGTAGGCCTACTTTAATTTAAATGCTTCAGGCCCACAAATGCACAATCAGGGATTGTTTCGTAGATGAAGCCTGAGATGGAGACGTTGTTGAGTATTGGAAAATGACCCTCATAGTTAGTCCTAGTAGATGGTTTCTGCCTCCATGCACTGACATGACTAACTAACATGACAAACTGCTGTCAGTGAAAGGCATGCCAGTACTACTACTATGGGCAGTACTTTCTAGAACCTAGCCCAGTGCACCATGTAATAAGCTAGTAATTTCCCATTCCGTCACCATGTTGATTTTAGCGACCCTGCTCAAGTAAGTGAACAAAGCTAGAGCCTCAGGAGAACAATCGCAAGTATCCACTGGCCAAACGTTACGTAGCATAGCCTCTGTCCCAACTACCAGTTTACTTGTACTTGTAGCTTGGACAGTTCCAACTGTAGTGCTGCTGTTGGGCCGGCCCAACTATTGTTGACCAATTTCTGTAGAAAATTTCTCAAGCTTATCCAGGTTTATGCATCTCACACTTGACCCAATTCATTGAAATATGAGACTTCATGTACAGTGTATGACATGACACTGTAAACAGTATGACTGGCATATGCTGGTTTGCTGGGCACATGCACGCTGGACCTCTGTGCTGTAGTTGGGCCAGCCCAACTATACATGTAGCACTCCAGTTGGGACGGGCCCAACTATAGTTGGGACTGATGCTTTAGTTGAGGTGTAACAACATGAAATGTGAAAAAGGCTTATTCAGTAGAGCCTTACATGTTTATGGTAGCTTATGATACATGCATGTGACCTGTAAAAAACAATTCAGCGAAAAAAGACTTGCATAAGTTGTAGTAGTAGGGACATGCATAAATGAATGAGGGCGCTGTTCATGTGGGAACTCATTTTCTTAAAATGTGTCTTTTCTGCACGCTCTAGCTCTTCTGTTTAATTTACACTTTCAAAATTTTTTAAATTTAAAGTGAAGCCAGCATTTATTTCATTTAAATAAGGTACAAATACGAATAAATATTTTATGAAAATACGAGCTGAAGCTCTTCAGTCAATATCCACACTTACATGTATATTTTTGTGCAAAAATATAACAGGTTGCTCTGCATTACACGGACAGAAAACATCCAAACATCTCAAAATATCCCTACTTTAAATCAATATTGTTTTGCTTTCCAGGCACCGATGGAATCCATACTTATACTTCAAAATGTTTCTCATGACATCCTCTCAAAGATCACGTCAAAAGGAAACAAATTTATGAGCCTCCCTAACATAGGCCTAGCCTACTTATCAACAAAACAGGGTAAAAAAAATGTATAAAAGCAAACCATATATTAGTAGCATCACTTGAAATCATTTGAAAAAAAATATTGCCCAAAGATCCTAAATGACTACCAAAAATCATATTTTTAACACTGAATAGACTTTTTGACTAAAATACATTTGTAACATCATGTACACGTACAGTAATTGCATACCCCTCATAAAGATCAGTTGCATTGGTGATCCGCATTTTCTTTATTTAGTAATATTCAAAGGGTAACAGAAATAGAAAATATTTACATGTAGTTCATATGAAGTATTTTAAAATAACAATGTACACATGTAACCATTTCAAAAACATTGTAAATTTAATGTTTACCCGTAAATTGTGACCCCAAAATGAATAAAAAGATCCTGCGTTTCTCCACCCACAAAAATCCCCTTTTGGCTGTTTGCGCTCCCAGGCTGATTGGATGACATCATTGCCATAATGCTGACATGTACAGTGTATACTAGCCCAGGTTGGACGTTGTCTACATTGCATTGCAACTAACATCCAGGGTATAAAAGACCTTCTACATTGCAAAATTTTTTTCAATATTTTTTTCTGACATTTTCACCTGGCAAAGACAGCTCAAATGTCATTCACAAGTGCCTTGTATCCCTAATTCCATAAGTGCTGTGTTGAAATGGCTAAATATGCCATTTGGAGAATGTATTTTGCAGGAAATTTTGCGAAACTCCATGCTTTCCGTCGCGATTCGTGAACAACCTAAGTTCTTCTAGTAGTACTTAGGCCTTTGCGCATGCGTGAAATGTGCAAAATGACCGATTCCCTGTGTAATAACCTTTTTGCCTAATGGCAGTGTGACTGATCTTTAAGCCATGCCCACCTCTCCATGGAATAGCCCACATCTAGATTTCCTTTCTCAAAAAATCTTTGCTAAAAAGCAGCCATGGCTAATCTCTTTAAAATGTGGGAACAACAGTGTCTGGACCATTTGGTCGACAGTTAATGCTGAAATATCAGAAGTTTTATTTGCCAACCTCACACTTTTTGATACGATGATAATCACACCATTGTACATGTACTTCATGTGCTTTCACACTGTGCATATGTTAGGTCAACGGATGACATCCATACATATACGTACATGTACCATATACATGTATCTGGGGTGGGGGATTAAATGTACATGTATCTTGCTTTTAAGCATGACCATACAGTGATATCAGCTGGACACTAAAGAGGTTTTTCACATGACGTACATGTAACATGACTGGCGAAGGCATTTCAGGAAGAAATGAAGAAGGAAGAAGGCATTACAGTATTTAATTAAGGCTTAGGCCTACTGCATACATGCAGTCTTTTATTAGGCCAAAAAAATAAATGTAGTTGTGCTGTGCATGCCTCTTAAAAATTGGGTCGGTAGGTCGGAAATCTTTTTTGTTTGGGGGGCAATTTTGTGCTAATTGAATGGCATCAATGGGGTCGACAGCCTCCAAAAGTATCTCAAAAAGTGATGAACACCTGTCTTAACTATGTAAAAATTTCTACATGCGGCAATTCACAAGAAAATTATGATCAATTCACACAAACTGGCCAATAATGTCCGTGTGTCACGTGCGTGATGACCGATCTAGGCCAGCAGGCGCTAAACCTTGTACCATGAGCAGAACAACCTCAAATTACGCTCATGAACACAGGAAATACATACATAAATAAGAGAACAAGTTCTGTGTATTAACTTGCAGAAAACCTCTTGCAGCATAACATCAATGTCTTTACAGCCTGCAGCCTTTTGCATTCACGATGTGTATGACCGATGAGTGTTTATGTACAGTAGTACATTCAGTGCATGTAGAATACAGACTGGCACTCGTTGCTACAATTCCATTATGCATTCTTTTGCATGGCTGCAGCGCGGCAGGAACCAGTGCAGCTTTGTTCAATGCATAGAGCTTCATGCACGTGTTTTCACCTCTGTGATAGCGAAACGTGAATGTTGACGATGCGCAAAGAAGTATGGGGCGATTTCATGTCTGTGCAAGTATAGTATATGTACACGTGTGGCGCTAGGTGACATTGACCGGTGTTGAGTGATCAGCCCTGATGAATGCCTTGGGCGTAATTAACATAAAAATTCTAACACAAAACTAATAATAAATTGGATGCCGTAATCCCATCTATTATGTTGATGTTTTAAGAGCTGTTATTGATATGTTGGTCGGACAATTTGTCCCAGCATCTTCGATTTTGTTCAGACAAACACAATAAGTGCTCCGAAAATGTCCAATGTCCAACCGTAATTTCATGCTCTACAAAGTATTTGGAGATGTGACAGCCAAGTTCTTATGGGGATGGAATCAGCAGTCCCCCCCCACTGCAACTGTAATATAGTCCAAAATAACTTAAACCTGACTCTTAAGCCTTAACCTATCCTTCCCAGATTTTTTTGAAATCATCGAGAAGGATGGGGAGATTTTGAATGATTGAGACGTATAGAGCTCGTTCACTTTTACCAGGTTTTTATATGGAGCTCTTTTATTTTTCTTGAAAGTTGAAGTACAAAGGAAGAATGTGCCGTTGTTCACCTGCACAGGGAACATTTTTTCAGGGTTCGGGAAAGTTTGTGGCAAAAATTATCACTGTAGTATGGAGCCAATGTTGATAAAGACTTTCGTGCGAGAAAAAATTAGTTTTAAAGTAAAATGCACTGTCAGGGCTATGGTTTCCAACTTTTGCAAACCATAATAAAGCCCAGGTATGACTCAGGGTGCGATAATTACCCCAATCCTGTGCATGTGTTATGTTTATTTCCTACGCTTCACAGGTGATGCCCCTGGATCTCTCTGTGCATGTTTGCATCCATCCTGCCCTAATGTTGAGCCTAATACAGAACATCCACTCACTTTAACCACAGTGGGTCATCATTTCACACAGGATGCAACAATTTCTTGTCATCTAATGATAGCCATCTGTATGGAAAATGTAGCACAGGCTCAGCTTTTTTTTTGCCTTTAGCTGTCACCTTGAATTACAGCAGTAATTTGTGGCAAATCACTTTGGAAATGATATATTGCATACACGTACAAAAACAGTGCTCTAGATTTCCAAATTATCTGCCAATCACAGTCAAGTGTTTGTCGCAAGTTCAGTCTCCTTGACTTGTTCAGTTACATTGTGTGTGCTGCTTAAAAGCTGCACATGCACTTGATGCGTTGTTGGCAACTCAAATTCCATGTATTTTTTTTATTTGCAGTCTGTTACGTTGCTAGTCAGGTCTTATAATGTTCAAGTCCAAGAACTGGCCACTTATTACATGCACAAATATTGATTTATGCTTCTGTCGTCAAGCATCAATTCCTTCATGTAGACGTTCTCGTCAGGAACTTGCTCATTCCACCTTAATCTACACTCTTACCCGTGGTGCTTGCTTAGCATGTGGATTGAAAGTGGGGCATTGAGGCCCATGTAAAATACTGGTGGCTTCCATCCGTAGTAATGAAAGTATCAAAACTATGCCACACTAAATGTTGAGTTGTTAGATCCAGAATAATTTAAAGGGTTGATGATTGTCCGTTGCACAGCAAAGCCAAGGGAGTCTTCAAATAATTTAAATATAAAATGGAGATTTTAGAGGATTTTAGATGCCACGTTACACACATTCATATCTTTTCGTCTCCTTTCCATTAGGATTGGCTTGGGGATTTCACCTTGCAAGAGATGCCTTGTGGGATGAAGCAGCTTATCAGTGTGTGTTAGAACTACATTGCATGTGCAGTACATACCACAGTTGTCACCATGGTAACACTGTTGATGAGTAACGCTGAGTTGTAATCTCACTAGAAGGCATTTCCTACATATTATTTGGATGTTATATGTATCGCCGGAAGTAGACCAAGGCTGGAATGTCAGCTTTTCAGGGCTTTATATGCATATATACATGTACACTAAGCAGAGGGGACAGAGGTTGTCAACTGTAAAGTGTTAATGGGTACATGAGCAGGCACCTGTTGCTAATAGGAGCTTTGAATCAGACCTGAACGGATACCCTGTTAGGAGTGGATGAGACCTGTCGTCCACCAGTCATGAGTGATAGCCATCGCATGCGTCCCAGCGCGCCCATGGGGGAGGTGGAACATGCCCACATCTTGTCCCAGGACATTGGGAACCTGTTTGCCAACCAGGACTACAGCGATGTGACGCTGATAGTGGAGGATAAATCCTTCCATGCCCACAGAGTCATCCTGGCGGCCAGGTGCCAGTATTTCAGGTCAGTATTCATGAGGCCTCAATCGCAGGCCTTATTTTGTGGCGACTTTTCTGTGAGGATTATTCAGCTCTTTAAGCCTTGCTCTTGGCCCCTTTTTGCACTCCCAGAAACGTTTTGGGAGATAAAAAGTATCCTTGGAAATAGTTGTTCGCAGTAGCCGCTGCTACATCTGACTGGAACCAGCCAGCCGACAGCAGCAAGCTCGGTGGTTGAGTGGCTAAGATGTCTGCACTAGTAAGCAGGAAGTGGTTTTTTTCACAAGCCTTCGGGGGCAAACACTGAGTATACAGTGTGATAATACACGTCGGGCAGGGTAAAAATCCAAAATTAAATGAAAAATATGCAATAAATGTGACATAAAGCTCATCCTGGTCATGTTCAAGCGAGCATGAAATTCAAAGCCTAGGGTCCTCAAATTTTAACCATGGCATGCATGTACGGTAAGTTCATGTGAAAACATGTGATACAGGTACCGGTAAATCACATGATAGGCTCTAAACAGGACTGCTTCGGAATCTGTTATCTAGAGCTTCATGTAGGTCTACATGTAGGTATTCACTTCATTAGAAATACGTGGAGACAATAGATCTAACTGTACATGTACATGTAGCTCTGGCATGTCTGGAAGCCTGTTTCCGACACAGCCTCAGTCTCTGACATTACTTAATATTTGAATGTCCTTCCAGAAAGAACGGATTCGTGAGGTTTTTCCCCAGTTGAGTTGTGTCTGCAAAGCATCCTAATGAAGGAGTCTAAGCAACCAGCTGCATGTATTGTCAGTTATGCCAACACCATGTATAAGTGTACATAATTACCCTGAAGCGTGTACATGTAAGCAGACATTTGTGTTTACAGTGGAACCTACATTCTCAATGAATAATACACTGACATACACATGCCCCAATTTTGTCGCGAATGGTAACCATTGTGAGCACCAAGTCCCAGACCCAGAGACCCTGAAGATCATAATTATGAAGGTCCGGACAAATTTGTTTAGAATGCACAAAGTGAATTCATAAAGTCTCCTTAGGAAGAAAAGAAAATGACTTCTTTGATTGACGGTGAGTCAATTTCTTGTAGCGCAATGAACAGTTGTCACACAGGCTTAATGATAGTGTAAAGCTTGCCATTGATTCCACAGAGCCCTGTTGTTTGGGGGCATGAGGGAGTCGGCACCAGACTGCAGCGAGATAGTGCTCCAAGACACCACTGCGCAGGCCTTCGAAGTGCTCCTCAAGTACATCTACACCGGCAGGATAAACCTCCTGAGCCTGAAGGAGGACACCGTTTTGGATGTCCTTGGACTGGCCCACCAGTACGGCTTTGTGGACTTGGAGGGGTCCATCTCGGATTACCTGAGGGCCATCCTGAGCATTCACAATGTCTGTCTGATATACGACGTGGCCAGTTTGTACTCGCTGAACTCACTGAAGGAGACTTGCTACCAGTACATGGATGCTAACGCTCAGGATGTGATGAACAGTGAATCCTTTCTCTCCCTTTCAGAGGTAAATGAATCAGTTTTGCTTATAACTAGATTTTTATAGACATTAATGTTTACTGTCACAGTTTTGATTTAAATTACACTACTCAAAAAAAGTGAAGGATCACTTTTTTCTGAACTTGTAATTTTTTCCAAGCAATGAGTGGGGTCTTTTTCTTTCATTTTTTGTTTGTCTAGATGGTGTTCTCATTGGAATAAAAAATTACCAAAATATTTCAAAACATCAAATGCACATTTTCAGCGGTAAAATATCTTATATAAAAAGTATACACAAAATAAAGAGTGGTCCATAACTTTTGTTGAGTAGTGTATGATGACTTCTTGTTTTCTGGGTCCACTGTTGTGCTTTTCCTGAACACATAATTTCTTATGACAATTAGTGACACAATACTAAACATTTTCATTGTCGGGTAATCTTGGGCAGGTTTGAGTATTGATGATTTGAAATAGTATAATACTTTCACATCTTGTCTTGAGATAGTGAGAATCATCACTAACCACTGACAGCATCATGGCTGGTTGAAGAAACCTCTCTCTGCAGGATGTGACCCTAGAATTGATGGCCTCCGATACTCAATGGTCATTATTACCCAAGGCTGTGTGACCAGCCTCGAGTGTGGCTGACTTTTTGAACCTGTCATGAACGCTGCAATCTTTTCAACCAATTGTTTTTTCTGAACTCTAGGGAGCTCTTAAGGAGGTGATATCCAGGGACTCTTTCTATGCATCAGAAATTGCAATATTCAAGGCTGTGCAGGCTTGGACCCAGGCCAACAAAGACAGCGACTTTAGTGAGATTGCCAAAGCAATCCGGCTTCCTCTCATGAACTTGAATGAGCTTCTGGATGTGGTACGGCCGACAAAGCTACTCAGTGCTGACGACATCTTGGACGCTATCAAGATTAAGCAGGAAAGCAGAAACATGGATCTCAACTTTAGAGGAAGTCTCGGTGAGGCAAATTTTGTCACCTGTGGTTACTCATAACTATTACTCCCCTTTTGAAATATGTTCCATGAAGAAACAAGGATTTTGCTTTGGATTTCCGTTGAGTAATACACAAAAAGGAACACCCTTTACCTTAAACCCTTCAAGTATCTTTTGACATGATCCTTTTCGGAATTTTCACAAGTGGAACACTACAATAACTTTATACATGCGCTTGTGGCTGTCCAAATCAAGCAAAACGAGGAAGTAAATGGCTGATGCGGAAGAAGCAAATTTTGTTTGATGAATCACGCTGTCAGTTTGGGAGTCTGAAAATTTAATACAAGAGAAACCCATCTCCATTAATGGGCAAGTGTGAGCGACAACTACAGTTGACCATAGCTCCAGTGGCATTGCCAGAACAATGGATGGCTGGACTATCAAGTGGACCATCTAAAACTAGGCCCGTGGTTATTGAACTGTGGTTGTGGTATCTTGTCATTTCAAAAAGTCAGTATTTTTATGCATGGGACAAGTTAACTTTGGAATAATTTCATTCGAAAGTGGCTTACTAAAACCTCATGAGACAAACCTTTCTCAGTGTTTTGCTGCATCCACAATTTAAAATGTTTACATGTCTCACAGCCACTCAGGAAATTGACTAGTCAGTCATGCAGTCTTAAAAAGGGCATAATTTGTAAAAGGCACAATACATTCTGCATAACGTGTAATCACTGGAGTAGATATTAAACTAATGCTCCGTTTACCTTTTATGTCCACACAGGGATTGGACTTTGTTGAAAAATGTGATGGTTGAAATAATTTTAAACAGCTTCTTTCTTTGTTGTACTGTCAGCAGAGAAAGCTGCATCCAGTGAGCAAGGAAGAAATATTAACTTTAGAAGATGAATCGAGCTTAGTAGATGCATGTCTAACCATCGCAATATTTCCAACACACTGAAACAGAATTCATGTCCCTCCAAATAACCTCTGATATTCCCTTGTTTGTGTTTATGGCTAAATTCCATATATCCATCTTCCACCGAAAAACAACAAAGCATGTTATTTTTAAATATTAAAATACTTTGTACATTGTAACAAGGGAAACACTTGCCTCAAAATTTTGCTTTTTCTTTTAATACAACTACAGATTTGTGTTAGCTTCCATCATAAACTTCTTAACGTAAATTCATCTGATGAGTTTGAATAACTTACGGCCAATTGGAAATATCTTTCTGAATCAACCTTTTTGTCTTGACTTTCCAGTACTCAATGAAAACATTGCCACAGCCAAATACAACGCATCCGTCATCAATGGAGATATGCGAGCTTCACTACTAGATGGAGACTGCATGAACTACGACCTTGACCGCGGCTTTACGAGGCACCCAATTGAGGATGTGGCAAAACCCGAGGGAATTGTTATTAAACTGGGAAAGCCTTCTATCATTAACAAGATCAGACTACTACTGTGGGACCGAGACATGAGGTAATGAAGCCACGTCAGAGATAGCGTGGCAGACTTGCAAATATGATCATATCATTTGAAAAAATTTGGTGGAAAAAAATTACAAAACTCTTAGCAGTGTATCTCAGATTGGGGATTGGTAACCTCATAGTTTCCATAAATCCTTTAAAGGTGACAATTTTAGTGGAATTTTTGGCACACAAAGGGTTTTGGTTGTTTTGTTAAACAGGTACTAAGCATCTACCGGTATGTGTCTCAGGTTTAGGAACTGCAGCATCAGTGAGCCAGTTGGGTATTCCAACAGCACATGCCCAGTACGAGACTTTTTGGGAACAGCTTTGCGCCTGCATAATTGTCTGTCCTATCAGCGCAGCCACACACTTGACTCACGTGCGAACTTTGTAAGACCATGGCTTTTTGAAATACCAATCTGGCTCAGTGGTCTTCTGATGAAATGGCCAAAGAAATTCAACAGAAGTTCTACAGTCTGCTGTAGAACTCCTGTTTGATTTCTGTGCTACTGAATCTTTGACATCACTGTTCAGTTTCTCTTACAGTCGTCATTGTTGAAATGAGGGTGTTTTCATTTCCAATTATATTCCAGGTCGTATTCCTATTACATTGAGGCTTCTATCGATGAGCAGGACTGGGTGCGTATTGTGGATCATTCACAGTACCTGTGCAGATCTTGGCAGACACTCTTTTTTCCACCCAGAGTATGCAGGTTGGTCAAGCTTTGTTGGAATTGCACGGACATTGACATTATCAGAATCGTTATTGAATCTGTCATCCAGGCAGATGATTTCATTGAAGTTGTACCCTGACCCGTTCAAAGCTATAAATACTTTTCAGACATTTGCTGTCACTGTTACGTCAGACCACATTTTAAATGTTCATTCAAAGAAATGTAATTTGTAATAAGCCTTTTGCGAGTTAGCTTTGACCCAAATCTGGTACACTGAGTTCTTTAAATTTACGTGAACATAACAACTTGAATTCTCCTTACTAAAACCAAAGCGAAAGCTTGCCCCGAATCACGAGGTATAGCAACAGTGTCATTAGTCTGGGGAATTCAAATTATATTTATGTGCAGTCAGATAACTCAGTGCACCAGATTTTATTCAAATTTAACTCGCAAATGGCTTATTGGTTGTAGACGAAATTAAAACATATATGTACATTGATTCTTTAAAGCTTTAAAAATATCTGGTGTAGTTTGTCTATCTTTGAAGTTGTGCTAAGGCATGTATCGCTGTACCATCTTACAAACAAATGGATGTTCATGCTGACAAGAAGATATAACCATTTCTCCGTTATTGGCCAGAAGAACAAAACAGACCCCATTTTCAGAGGTGGTTTGATCGGGTATGTCAGTGGTGGTGATATCAGAGGCAGTGGTGTCAGATGTGCCAGAGGAGGTGGTGTCAGCCATTCCAAAGGAACTGGTGTCAGGCATTCCAGAGGCAGTGGTGTCAGATATGCCAGATGATGTTGTGTCAGACATGTCAGATGACGTAGTATCATACATGCCAGAGGAGCTGGTGTCAGCCATGCCAGAGGTGGTGGTGTGAAATGTGCCAGAGGATGTGGTGTCAGATGTGCCAGTGGAGATACATGTAGTGTCAGACATGCCAGAGGGGGTGGTGTCATACGAGTACATGCCAGAGGTGATGGAAGCTTTAGCAGTTGTGCTTTCAAATGTTGATCTATTGGTATTGTTCCCGATCCATATCTCTTCATTACAACTGACGCCTCTGATGTAACCAACCAAGAAATCTTTATCATCTTGTGTACTGATACCGGCTAACTCAGCCTTACGTTTCCCATAGGATTTTGCAGCCCCACAGTGACGGGCTGCTTGATCCCAACCAACATGATCCCCTATGTACAGGTAGCAGTGATTACCGTGAGCCACCCAGGATAGTGGGCAAGGCATGCAGGTGGTGTTCACAGCCACAGACTGAAGCAATCCGATGACTGCCATGGCAGTCAGTGTTGCAAGGGTCTTCAGAGGCATGACAGAAGCAGCTTCCGTCTTCTGAATGAGGGATAGAAGAGTGTCCTTCTTGAAGCAGCCGTGTGGTTGGTGCTCCTCACTGTCTGAACGTGTGAAAGCATCTGGCTGTTTTTACATGTAATGCACATGAAAGGACTGACATTTCAGCCAAATAACAAAGATTATACTGTCAATTGAAAACACAGAGAAATTCGCATTACAAGCAGATCCTTTCTGAAAGGCCTGCCAAACCTTCTAAAATATAATTTGTGTCTTCGGCTTGCTGGTAATGGGAGCTTGTAATTGCTGTTGGTGTGAGGCGCCCATTTAGTTCTGAGGGGAATTTTTATTGTGATTGACCAATTATAATAAATGGAGACAGTGCTGATCTACCAATGAAAGTGTTGCCAATATTTATCAGAAGACTAAACCTATTTTTTTTCACAACTCCACATTCTATTCAGTATTACTATACATACACGTAACTCTGGTACTTTGACACTGAATACATGTAGATGTATATGAATATACCATATGACAAATGGTGACTCTTGCCCATTAAGGAGGATGAATGGTTTCATTTCCCCCCCCCCAGCTGAGGTCCAATTCAGCAGTATATTACATGAATTACCGGGGTAATTTCTTGGAGGACAGTTTCCTTTTTCTCAGGGGCATACTAGCTTTGTTGTACATACTTTACCATTCTAGTGTCAATTATCAGCTGAGCTTCAGCAACAGGTGCAGGGTGATACATGTAAGTGAGCTACATGTACATGTACCACTTACCTCATTCGTTGATAATTTCTTGGAGGACAATGTGCTTTGTTCTCAGGGGCATACTGGCTTTGATGTACATACTTTATCATTCTAGTGTTAATTATCAGCTGAGCTTCCAAAACAGGTGCAGGGGGATACCTGTAAGTGAGCTACATGTACCACTTATGGTACCTCATTTGTTGATACATGTACACGTACATGTACTTCATTGCAGACGTGCATTTCTCCATGCAGAAGCAATGGACACCGCACTGTCAGATGCAAACAACTTTGACACTGTAATATAGAGAGATAATGAAAACAGGTAGAGTGAGACAGGAATGAGTGTTATTACACAGACATACATGTAGGCTGTGCACATGCACTCAACTGCATTGAAAAATAAACAGGTACAACTGAAGAATAAACATCGGCATTTTAGGACTTTCACCAGACCGCTTTTGTTTGGATGAAAGCACAGTCAAACACCGAGAGGACCGTGTGGTTCTGAGTGGCTTGGCTCGTATGTGTGAGAATGTACAGTATTCCTGTAAACGTTGAGTACCACTTTTCAGAACCACAAATACTCACAAAAGAGATACGTCCACGGTGCTACCACAAACCTACTTTCTATTGTACCTCTTCACCATGCAAACCTTCAAGACTTATCTACCGTATTCCTGTTTGCACAAATACGTACATGTACATGTACTTGCTAACTTCATGTTGTATCTGAAAGTAGCTGGTAATGGTTTTGGCATTTATTTGGAGAGTACACAAATGTTTACACTTCATGATTTTCTGGAGGTCACAGGCTAAGATCCATGACTAACTTTGGGGGGGGGAGTTATAGAAATTTATACATTTGTACAGTTTTGTCATAGTTAATTTTCTTCTTGTCAGTCATCCTTAGCTAGGCTCAAACAAGTGCCAGAAACTATAGAGAAAAACCTACTTCACTAAGTTGTGGTGTCAGAGGAAATTTTCGAGTTATCAACATCAGTGTACTTTCTGGTTGCTACCTTCCGTGACTCTGAATAATTGTTTTTCCTCTGAAATATTTTTTCATAGTCAGCGTTATGCACCAGTCGGATCAGTTTAATACTGAATTGAGTTCTTGTTTTCATTTATCTCTGCTTGTGTATTCACAACTGTGAAAATTAATGTTCAAGCATTGTTTCTTCTTTTGTCCTATATATTGTATCCTATCTGTTGAATTGTGCAGAGCAACTTCTTTTGTTCTTGTCTTGGTGCAGGTATATACGCATAGTGGGTACACGCAACACCGTTAACAAAGTATTCCATATTGTGTCCTTTGAGTGTATGTTCACTGACAAAACATTGCCGCTAGAACGAGGACTAATAGGTAAGGAAACAGAAAAGAAATTTTCTTTGATGGATATTTTCATACAATGTAAAAGAACGCTTTTCAAAACGAATGGTTTTCTGGAATTTTTGACGAATTTTTGGGATTTGTTTTCTGGAAAAAAGTCACATGCCTGTTATTTTATAGAGAGTACAATCTTCATGCTACTCAAACGCCCATGTGTATTTTCCTCAACTTTTTTTTTGCAATATACATGTACCGGTATGCATCCAGATGGTACTGCAACATCTTACAAGAAGGTCTTTTTATTAATTGGTTTCATAATCCAACTGGAGAATTGGTGAAACTAGGAGTAAGGTTTGGCCAGACAACTTCAGGAGTATGTTTTCATGCTGCCCTGGAAGATGTAAAATTAATATCTTCACAAGTTTCAGATTTTTCTAAAACTTTGCCTGTTTATCATCAGATGTCCGACTAACATTGGAACTCTCAGCTACAATGCATAAATATTCCCCTATGATAGAGGGATGTAAAAAAATGACTCTTCAGTGGTCAGAATTTGTTAAAAGCAATACACAGAGCACCATTATGGACAGGTGGCTTGCCTTATAATGTGTTGTAGACCGTATATGACCATTCCAGGTTTGGAACTCAATTTGGAAACAGCAGAGCAATGTTAATCCCGAATTTTCTCAGTTTTTCTCTCTGATCCCATTCTGTCTCCTGTTGCAGTGCCCAAAGAGAGCGTAGCCACCATCCAGGCCAGTGCTAGTGTCATTGAAGGTGTTAGCCGTAGCCGCAATGCCCTGTTGAACGGAGACACCAAGAACTACGACTGGGACTCTGGTTACACCTGTCACCAGCTTGGCAGTGGGTCCATCGTGGTCCAACTGGCCCAACCATACATCATTGATTCCATGAGGTAAATGGGGAACCAACTGCATGGAGTGATGATCGTCAACTACTGGTTGGCTTTTCCCCTGGTAACCTGTTCATTAGTGGGTCATTCCATGAAGTTGGGGAAAACCTGGTTATTTGCCCACAGTGTGAAGACTTTGGAGTAAATCACATGGCTTCTCAAATTATTAGCTAGTTTAATTTACATCATCGAAAGAACACATAGAGACGTATATTGTTGAACCATTTTGTTCAAATTTGTGGAAACATTTTTTGAAACATAAGGCACGGAAAAGCGGTTGCCGGTTATGTGAAACTAGTTTTTTTTGTGACAAAATAAATGGGCATTTAAGAAACAAAGAGTTGAAGTAAATGTAAACGTGATATTTTTTACATATTCGTATCTATATCAACCCTCCACAGTTCATTGCATAGTTAACTACCCCTCCTTCACAACTGAGCCCCTGTTTTGTTCGAGGGTACGGACGTAACGTGGTTTCCATACATGAATAGTCACGTTACGTCCGAAACAGGAGTTCGTTTTTTGGACCTGGAAAATAATTGTTAACTACATCATCATGGATTGAACACTACAACCCAGATGTCCTTTTTCTCAACTTGGCATTCGCTGCTGTATTTCAGTTCCAAAGAAATAATTTGTTCTTGCCCGAATGCCGAGCCTGGTTTCCGCAGCCATTCTGTTATGTCTGCAACCCTTGGTGTTCCTTAAAGCCCTAGTGTGCGCCCCTCTTTGGAAATGGATTCTTCCATGCTTCAACAGCTCTTTCTAGAATTCGCCAAACAAAACGTCACTTGCCAGATGTTGTCACGCATGTATTAACCTGCTTTCCAAACATTGAGTTTCCACACATTACGTCCCTGACGCAGTTACGCCACCCTAAGTTTGTCAAAAGTAAATTCGGCCGTTAGAGACCGGTATCATTGATTTCGAAGTACAAGATCGTAGAAAGAATGAATCCGTAAAATTTACAACACGTGTAGTGTGCTCATGCTCGTTAAATTTTGATTATTTACAGTTTACAACTGATTGGAAAAAAATCCAGACGATCCAAGTTACATCCAGATCTTGTTATTGCAATGACCATTAGTCCGTTACCATTATGTAATAACAGGGGTAGTACCACAATCCCCTTGGAGGAGCCATAAATTAAACTCATACATGAACAGATTTTGAGTACATTTCAAACTGAAGATGTTAACCAGCTATAGTAATGCAATCACTCCATTTTGCATATTTCCATGACAGTATTATTATCTAAACATAAAAAAGGGGAAAATATGGTAATGCCCCACAGGTCCAAAAGGGTATAGGCTCGTTGCTAATACGTCTAGTTCCACATATCCCTCTAGGATTAACGCTAGAGCGATTCCGCACCGTGAGGAACCATACTAGCGAACACAATGTGGTGTGTACAGGCCACAGGTTCCCTGTTTGTGCCCTGCACAGGGACGGGATTTAGGCAACATTCCGGCTGGGAAATCGTAAATAAAGGTGCCTAATTTTTGGCATTGTTTTCTGTGAAATCTGACATGATATTTTCAGTGTGTTTTGAATATAATCAGGGATAAATGTGGTAAAGATCAACACAAACATTGCCATCCATGCAGCCGTATATGATCACAAAGATTACACTTCGTTTGATTCCTACCATGTCTACCAAATAAGGGAAAATGCTCATCCCGACTGCACGGTACCTCTTCTGGAAAGTCTCCCAAAACGAGTTCATGTACCTACCCTGACATTCGTTCTTATGGTACCGGTGTATATTCCCTTCCTTATTGTTTTTATTTTTGGTGAAATACTTTCCAATCTTTAGAACATAACAAATGAATCTTCATTACATATTGCAACTCGGAGAAATCTTCGTTGTGCGCTGAAACTCTGTGTGGTTTCCGTGTTACATGTACATGTACATCCATAACCCGCCACATGTGGCATAATGCCTGAGTATTTCCTTGTCTGCATAAGTTATTACAAAAGTGTTACTAGTTATGAAAAACAGAGTCAATAATGTGTCAAAACTTGGGGAAAAATGACAAATGACAAAGTGAATTTGAGATTTCAGCTCCTTTGTCACTCTTTGTTATCTAACTTCATGGAATGACCCAAGTGTGTCCTGGACACCGGGCGAACTTGACCTGAGGTTGAAAGATGGTTGTCGCTTGAACTTGGCCATGTATGTGTCCAAATTTGATGAATGCAGATGCATTCTCCTTGTGCTAGGAAAAGGAAGTGTGTTCATTTATAAGATGTGGGTGTCTAGATATATTCTGCATTGTACAATCAGATATACACTTGCATATGTGATGTGATCCA